TGGACAAACAGGTCGCGGAAAAGAAACAGCAACGTGAGCTCGAACAGGCCCGAGAATCCCAGCTCGACGAGAATTTGATTCGCGGTAGTAAGCTCGCCTTGCTGCTGGAAAAACAACAACAAGAGGTAAACTGTCAATTACGAACGGGAAAAAAACAAGCGGCCGGATGATCAATCGTGTTTTGCAACGTCATGGCTAAAGATTCCAACGTTTGTCGTATCGCGCTCGTTCTTCTTTGCGCGTTTCTTCCGACAGAATATTCCGTCAGCGGGTTTTTCAACGTTACACCTCATCGCTGTCAATCTTCTAGGAAAGGCGAAAGATAAATAAAGAGATCGAACACTTCAGACAACAGTACCAGCGTCCTGAACAACGCCGAGATTTCGATCTTTACGATTCGACTGCTCTGAGAAAAAAAGAACATGTCGACCAGTCTTTTGGACCTGGCCTCGCGCAGAAGTAAATGTTGTCATAAATGAATTTCGTCCGTGCGACGAAATTCTCGTCTGGAGTTTGAGAAAGATCGGTATTAAATATTTGCTCGTCCTATCGTGCAGATTTCCGGGCGAGGACGACGATGATGCAAAGGAACGCTTGAAGGCGCAGAAGGAAGAGTTGCGATGGTGGATCGAGAAGCAAAAGAACGAGCGTATGCAGGCCGAGTGGGAACGCCAGGAAACCGAGAAAGCGTACGAGACAGCCGTCATCTCTAGGGACAAGCGTGCCATGGCGTTAGACCAAATGGAACGGGACTGTCGTCGAAGGTTGAACGAAGCCACCGCGCAATTTAATCGAGCCTTGGTAAGGCTTTCTTCTATTTAGATCTTCGACGGAACGGCCGGGAACAAAGCGGCAGGAACTGCAAGAAAAAGATAAGAATCTTATTATCTGACAATTCTATTTTCCACCAGGCGGCAGAGAGAGAATCGTATCTCCTTATTATATGGATGGATTCTCTATCTCTTCCTCGTCCTTCCTCCAGATACTCGCGTGTTACTCGATGCTCGCCAGCGACGAGAAAATGGAAATTCAGATAATTAACGCTTGATGGCACTCCATCGCATTAATTGATTTAAAGTCCTCTCTGTTGTTGCCTCTTCTCTCGTCGCGAATGATCCAATGACGACGAACCGTGAAATGTCAGAGTTCAACGGTGGTAAAATCTCGTCGTACTTGATACGACTGTTCTGTTCTGTTCTGGTCGCCGATGAATTCCTCCGGTGTCACCGTATCGAATCGCGAGACGAAGTCATCGTTGCCTCGTCGTTTAATGCATCCCGAGCACAAACTGCACGGTCGTACATAAACCTTGGTCGAAGGTGAGCACCGTTTACAGCGTCGACGAGGTTGCTACGAACGATGAGCAAACTTGGTGACGTCATCGATGTACGAGTCTCCGGTAATAACACGATGAACGATCCTCCACTCGCTTCCCCAACTCGTTCCCTGTCCTTGACTTTTTTTCTCCTCGGACTGTCACGCTTTGTTGGATCGTGCGTTTCAGTCGAATGACCGGCTTCGTTTTTCGCTTCCCCGTACGACAGGCTGAAGAGCAGGAGTACCGCCGCCACTGCGAAGCCCTTCAAGAGGAGGAGGACAAGAAGGCGGATATCTACAATCACGTGACTGGGGACTTCCTTACGGAAGCCAAAGAGCAGGCGGAGAGCACTCATGGACCGCACAAACCGTTGGCCTCGCGTTACAAGGGCATGACTGCGGACGAGCTTCGAGTTTTCAGGCAGGCACAAGCACAGCAGCTGAAAGAAATCGAGGTAAAAGCCGAGCATAGGAGCAGCGGTTATTTTACGCGGTTTTAACGATGCGCCGTGGATAGTTGAAACGGTGCCAATCGTTGTCACGGCCATTCGAGGGCACGGCCAGGGGAACGAAGAAATTTGGCCGGTTCAAGAAATTCTTCTTCTTCTAGAAAATGAGATTAGAGGAGAAACGAAGGGACGAGGAATGGGATCGATTAACGAACACCCAGGCGGAGATAGCGAATTTGTATCAGCGTGAAATTGACCGGAAAAGGACGTAAGAATTTTATGCTAGGCGATTTACTGAATCACAACGAAGAAAGGAAATTATATAAATCGATGCGTTGCAGGGAAATTCAGAAAAAAATAGCAATGGAGAATTTGGAACTCGCACAGCAACACAAATCTCATCAGGAGTATCTGAACCGTGTACTCTATAAAAACAAACCGACTGCAGCCTTTTTTGAACAATTTAACAAAGATGCTCGTTAGAACGAAGACTTACATGTACAATGACACGAATAAACTACTTTTCTCATATATTTTATGCTTGTTCTTCATAAGTGTATTTTTTTTTTTTTT